TTTAACTGTGAGTGGTGGACGTAACAAAAAAATGAGAAAAATCCCAATGCAATTTCAAGTTACACATTCGCATTTTATGGTATGACTGAATTATTTAGCACATCAGAAAAACAAACATTTATATTTGATACATTGTTTGCAAGTAAAGAAATCAGATGTTTCCTCTGGTTTTTGACAAGGTTTGCACACACTGCAGAACTGATTTTGTACCCCTCCTCCATGCTGATCTGTAAACCGTTTAGGTTTTGGCACTGTGGCTATGCAATACAAACTTTCAGTTCCCTCCAAATATTTTAGATTGTGTTCAAGGGGTCTGGAAACTGGCTAGGCCATCACAGGACCTTTATATGCTCAAATGGAGAATATCCTATGGAGGTTCTTGTCATGCTGGAAAAAAAAAAAAACAAAAACAAAAAAAAACAGCCAAACATAGCTTTAATCCCCTCAACGGGGAAAGGAGAATGTTGGCTAAGATCTCCCAATATGTAGTCCCATCTATCCTCCATTCAATATGATTTAGTCATCCTGTGATCTTTGCAGGAGAACATCCACAAAGAATTATGTTTCCACCTCCATGCTTCACAGTTGTGATGGTGTTCTTGGGGTTGTAGTCATCCTTCATTTTACAAACAAATGGAAGTTAGACCAAAAAGCTATCTTTTTGTCTCATCAGAGATGAGTCCCCTGGACCTTCTACCAGTAAAACATGCCTGGAACACCTGTCATGGGAGGCTTCACCTGATAGGACACTTGAACTCTTGCGATATGTTGATATTGTTTTATAACACTCCTTAGTAGGCACCAGAGCATACTACTTGATTGTAAATTACTTATTGTAGAGTGTGTGAATCCTACATACTGGGGCTTTGAGTCTTTGTGACCTCCACAATCCCAGTCTTTTGTGCAGCGAATCTTGGATATTCTGTGTTAAGCTCTTACTTGCCTTAGTTTGGCACGGCTTCTGTTGTTTTAGATCTTCTGATTGTTGTTTTCTTTACTATTTTTGAAATATGGCTAGTGCAAAAGATAACTTTTTTTTCAGCCTTTTGCTGTACTGACTGCTGGTAGTCATTTGGTATTGGGCTCTATAGGAGCTTCTCACAACTAATGAATTTTGTTTCTGCCTGTTTTTCAATGCAACATAGCTCAACCTCAGTTAGGTTAAATAGAAAGTCTGAACACACAGTTTCAAGCCTTGCTAGACATTCTTAGTTGATTTTACACCTTAATCTATACCTGGCCATTTTGGGAAAAGGCTTTGGTAAGAAAAAAAATTGGTTCGACATTCCCTGAGAGTCATAGTCCTCTGGCTCAGTGTGAAATATGTTGGATCCTTTAAAGCCAGGCATACACTGTACGATTTTGTCCTTTTCGGGCGGATTCTCCCGTCGTGCGAGAATTTTTCGATCGGGCAGACTTCAGCCTGATCGTGTGTCATATAGTGTATTGGGGGTGATGAGGGGCAGTTAGCCTCTCATGAGCACCTACCAATCAGGAATAATAGGGTCGTAAGAAAATCAAACATGTTTGAAATTCAGTCGGCCATAGTAAGCTGGTCATGGGCAAATCACTCAGTGTGCATGTGCTAACAAGGATTCATCTTCTTCACCCTCTCAGACGAAAACATAGAAGCATGGGGGTGCGAGTAAAATGGAGTTCTTTACTTTCTTTTTAGGGCTTTCAGCACACAAAATTGTACAAATTGCCAGGGCAGCGTGTTTCACTCTAGTGAGGTAAATATTTAAGAGGAGGCATTGACACTTCCTTCTTATGCTAAGCATTCCCACAGAATAATTCTTCCAACACTGGGGATGGTGTGTCCAGATTAAAACTGAGATTAGTTTACATCTAAAAGAGCAATATGTGTGTGTGTGTGTGTGTGTGTGTGTGTGTGTGTGTGTGTGTGTTTGGGTGCACACTACAGTATATGGTTTTGATTACTGGATATTATTTAACTTCTTAAAGCTTTCTTGCTGCAGATGTAAAGCTTGGATTTGTGTAGTAAGCTGCTTCCTAAAACAGTGGTTCTCAATCCTTGTCCTCGGTTTATACTGCCCTGCATGTTTTAGATGTCTCTGAATACATACACTCCTCAGCAGCCTTCAAGTGTTGCAGATGGCTGATTATTTAAGTTGTGTGTGGCGGCAAGAAGACTTCTAAATGACACAGGGCGGTGGTGGATGATTATATTTAGGATGTAGCTTTAATGTATTTCTCTAAAATTATTTGGTAACTTTGCAGATATATATATTCATACATATGTAATTCCTATATTTAAAAAATATTTAACTTAAAAACTTTATAAACTTAAATTTTACATTTTTAAATGTTTTATGCCCATTCCCTTTTAAGAAAAAGGGAATGGGCAAATAATAGCACATTAGAAATACAAAAAAAAAAAAATTCAATAAAACTGCAAAAGGAAAAAAAAGAAAGAAAAATATAGAATAGCTGAAGAACATTATGCTAATTCTCCAGATATCCACCTTAACCAGTCACCATAGCAATACTGAAGGGATCTGAGATCAATGAAATGAGTTTTCATGTGAGCTTCCTATTCTCTGGTTCTAATCATTTCTTCTCTCTGAAACAGATGACTGCCCAGATAAGCCTTCTATTCTGCAGCAGCAGAACACACTGCTTCTCTCCCAAGGCTATTTTCTAGGACCTGAGAGCTCAGTGACTCCCACAGCAGTGTGCAAAGCAGATAATAAAATTCTCATTTGATGTTGCAGACCACCAAATCGACCGCCATGACAAGTCCAGACACATAACAAGCACATCATGTGATATTTATATATATATATATATATATATATATATATATATATATATATATA